TTCCTCAATAAATAAATAAAGCCAATATTAGAAGGTATAATTGTTTTTAAAATTCACTTTTATATTCTACATTACAACAAGCCTTTCTGCTATTCACAGCCTAAATTTAATTTTGTCCATTTAGTCAACATGTGTTAGCCTGGATCAGGGGTGGGGGACCTTTTTTCTGCCAAGGGCCATTTGAATATTTATAACATCATTCGTGGTCCACACAAAATTATCAACTTAAAAATTCGCCTGCTATATTTGGTCAAATTTTTAATTAACTCACCCCCCAATGCCTTGACAGGGCAAGACCAAACGATTCTGTACCCCTGACCTAGATGCTTAGTACTTCCATTGGGGTTGTTTGCCCAAACCATCACCCCCAGTGCCTTGGCAGGGCCAGACCAAACGATTTCGTACCCCTGGCCTAGATGCTTAGTACTTCCATTGTGGTTGTATGCCCAAACTCCTGGCATCATAGTACTTACTATAAAATAGGTCCTCAATACATAATTTTGGAATGAATTAATTAGTACAAAGATGATTAATATACCAATTCCCTAAGGCATTTAATTTAGACAATGTCTTGACTGCAAGTAATGGTGAAACGGGCCAGAATATGGGAAGAGCCATATGGGAGTTTTTGGTAGCTTTTGTTTGGTAAGCTAAAAAATGTGATTGCAAGAAGTGAGGACTTAAAGTAGCTCATGTAGTCACTGACTCTTGGGGAAGTGGCTGCTGAATCTGATCTGGCCTGTGGAAAGCAAACGTGACTGGACTCATCTTGACAAGGAAAATACACAACTTGCCGACTCATAATGTGTTTTTAGTGATCTCCTTAAATATCACCAGAGTCACAAGTATTTAGAAAAATCTTAAAATGCTTCATAGACAAGATATTGCCACTAGTAAAAGCCAAAGTTATATCTACAGGGACAAAGTTAAGGGCCTGAAATGGGATGTTAGTTGTTTTGACCTTTTGTTTGATGTGTACTCTACTGCCATTTCCCATTTCACCAACCTCTTTAAGAACTCTTAATGAGTATTTACGGAGCACTCTCTTCCACACATATTTAAGTGCTCACTGTAGAGAGAGCAGAGAGTGATGTGTAAGGAGCTTAGGCCTTGGCCTCAAGAGGCCTTGGTTTGAAGCCCAGCCCTACCACTGAGAAGCTACATGATCTTAGGTAATTCACCAAACTTCGCTGTGTTGCAGTTTCTTCACATGTACATGGGTGTTGACAAAAATAGCACAACTTGAGATTTAAATGACTTCATGCATATACAGTGTCAGGACTGTATAATGTTGGCTCTGGCCATTATTGGTATGCGCTAGGTTAGGTGTTGTGAATACAAACACTGAAAAGAAGAGTTATGGTTTCTGTCCTCATGCTGTGTGCTTGACATTTGCCTGTTTCTCTTTACTGTATAATTCATTCTTCAACCTTCCTCTGCCTTGCTGTGAAAAGGGCTTGACTCCAGAAAACCACAATTCCCAGGCTCCCTTACTAACTGGCTGCCTGCTAGGTTTAGGCAGCAGAAGGTTCAGAGAAGAAAATGAGCTTGGAAGGCCAATGGTGACTTGCTGCTTGCGTAGTAGCATCAATGGCAGAGGCTGTCTCTTCTTTCTTGCCCATCTCTCTCCAACAGAGTCTCCTTCTTTGCTCACAGGCCCCACTGCAATACCCTAGTTCCCAGGCTTCTTACCAGCTTTCTGCTGTGGGAATGAGGCCAATATAGAAGAAGCTAGAACAAGAGGAAGAAGGCAAATTCTTGATGTAGTCCTGGATCCAACTGTGCCTGCAGATTTTATAGATCTAGATGTTTTGAAATATGAGCCTGTACAATTTTCCCTTTTTGCTTAAGCTACTTTGACTGCATTTCTTTCACTTGCCTCTGTGAAAATTTTCATACACTGTCTACTAATTCATGAGACTGTTTGAGATAGCACACTATAAAGCAGTTCTCCTTGAATATTTGTCTCCGGAATCCACATAACTAGTTTTTATTGTCCTGCTAGGATTAAGTGTATAAAGATGAGCAAGATAAACACGGTCCTTCTCTTTGGTAGTACAATAATGACAGATTAAGTGTTTTGCACTTAAAAAGTAAAAATCCTAGCTTTTATTATACTTATTCCAATATTGTTGTTCTCTCTGGAGATCTTTCCTTAGTTAATGTGCATCTTAAACAAAAGAGATCTCATCAATTTTAATACAAGATTATAAACTAAAATGCAAAGCAAAAAAACTTTGGGGAAATAGTTTTCATTTATTTTCAATAAAGTAAATCCCAAGCCTCTAGTTCTTTATGGGAAGCTTCCCAAGGCAGGAGGATTTTTCAGAGCAACGAAATTAACAATGTCACTGCCGCAGGACAATCGCTCATTCTGCTATATATTTTCTTGGCTCTCCTCTTCTCCATTTGACTAAGATGATCCATTTGTCTTCTGATAATGAATGGGCTTCCTCTTCCTTTTAGCCACTAGCATAAGTCACTGAAACTTGCCCAAGACATGTCTAAAGTTCATTTGCTTTGGGAATTTTTTGAATCTTGCATAGTTGATGAAAATAAATTTGTAATCAGGATGCAAGTATAAGTGTGTGTGTATATATGGTGTGTGTGTGTGTGTGCTTTGTCTTTGAAATATATGCAGTGGCCTTTTAGTGTTGTAATGCATGGGTCAGGCTGTAGTTGCTATGGAAACAATAACCAAATTTCCTGACATTTGAGGGTAGGGAGATGCAGTGGTGGCTGCTGTGATCAAAGTTGAAAGATTGCTGATAAAATTAAAGTAGCTTAAAGAGTAAGGGGCTTTTTCTACCCTATTATTCAGATCAGAGCAGTCAGCTCTTCCCCAGGGTCTCCCAATTATATCTATCAAGGCCAGGCTGAAGGCTTACTAATATTCCTTTAATTATTATTTTATACTTAGTTTATTTTGGATAATGGATGAATGGGAATTTGGAGTTCTTGATTATAGTTGCTATATAATTTTATATAGTATAAAATCATGCTTTATGGTAATGGGACACCTTATATCCAGATTAATGTCCACCCAAGACAAAATTGCTATTAAGATAACAAAATGCATGCTTTTGTTTGGAATGTGATACCTTGAAGTACAAGTTGGTCAGTCCAATGAGTGCATTTAATTCATTCTCTGTACAAAAGGGATCATTTCTAGGACCTCTATGACTCCTGCGGAGTTTCTCTGGAGCTTCCAGTACAGCACTGATTTTTCTGCATTGTTAAGGTTTATAAGATGCATCATATGAGAAGTTCATATATCTGTGTTTATTCTGTTCATACTACATGTCAGGATAATGTGAGAGGAGTATGGACTATGGGGAGTGGCATAATCCCCCTAATTGCTTAGTGAGGGTCCTCTGTGCCCAATACAATGTTATGCTCTGTGGATGTGGACAAGATGTGGACAAGAAATGATTCCTGCTTTCAAGAACCGGTTTTGCCACATGAGGAGAGAATACGTGCAGACTGCTCATTGAGTGGGGACATTGCAAGAGGAAAGCCAACAAATGCAGCTGAATATAAAGGCAGGAAGTGAGCCCAATCGAATGGGCAGATAAAGAAGCTGAAGAGGAAGCAGAACTTGAGATGGAACCCAAAGGAAGGGCAGACCTTGTTAAAGAGGGAAGACTATGTTTGGTGTTAGTAAACTTCAGAACTTATAAGTATACTGCACATATTGTTTTGACTGTCATATGTTATATTAAAATAGAGACAAGGTAAAGCAAATGGTGTGAGCAAAGGTGCAGATGGGGTATGATCTAGTGGTTAAGGGACATTGAGTAGTTTGGTTATGCTGGGGAGATAGACAGATGGTTCAATTAGATATTCTCGGGTAATGAAGGTGCTCAGGGAATTATGGGGGCTATGAAGGACAGGTTAGAAAATCTTGGATTTTGTAGATTCCAAATGACATTGAGGGCCACAGGGCTTAAACTGTAATAATCTGAGGTCAAAGTAAAGACTCTAAAATGGTGATAAACATAGTGAATTGTCTTCCACTGCTTGGCAAGAAGTTAGCAGTCAGTAAATGCAAATTGATTTTGGTTGCAAATAAAACCAATGTGACACCAACACAAAGAAACCTTTGGAATTGTAGCGGATATACTGTGGTTGTTAAAACTTGTTGACAGTTGTTTAACTCCTCCATAGCACTTTCTTCAGATTTTTTCCTCTGGGTTATTGTCACTTCAGGCCTCTTTAATATAGATGAGTTGAAAAGAAAAAGTTTTTAAAAGCCTAGTTTTTTTTTGCATATGAAGTTGTATAAAGTAGGTATAATATGGTAGGAGCCTTGAGTGAGTTATAAACAGATTTTTATTTCATACTGAGAAATTGGCCCACCTTAATTTCATACAGATGATGACATGGTGGTCTCAACGCTTCTCAGTACTCATCAGGAAAATTGTTGAGGATGGATTTAGCATTCTCAACTCTGAGGGATTTCTGGAAACACAATGGGTAATCTGTCTCCAAGTTAATACATACCTATTGCTTCTGATTTAGGGCAATCATAGAATGAGACTAAACACCTTTGGCACAAAGTAGTAGAATATCATACGGGTTATGTTTTTGGGTGTTCGTTTTTAAAATTAAGGTTTTTTTTAAAAAAATGGACAATCTTTTAACCTTTCTTCTTTTTTTCCCCCCAAAAGGGTCTTCTTAAGAAATGCTACTCTGCCAAGGCATCTTACCTCTTCCAGCAGGATAAATTCTATGATGTCAGCTACGACACAGGAGACAAGTCTATCCAATGTAGCAGGAGAGCAGATGCATTCAAGTTCTGGATGACTTGGAAGGCCCTGGGCACATTAGGCCTTGAAGAAAGAGTTAATCGTGCTCTTGCTTTATCTAGGTACTTGCGTGTGTGTGTGTGTGTGTGCATGTGTGTGTGTGCACCCATGTGTATCTACAATAGACTCAGTGACAGTAACG